GATGGTAGTGATACTCTGTATGCTGCTCATTCGGATAATACTTCCAGGAAAATGCAGCAAACTGGCTAATTCACTTTAGTGCTTTATCTTATCTTAACAATGTATATTTGCGTGTATGAAATTTGTGCATTATTTTTTTTTTTTTTTCGAAAGCTCATTTTGAATTATTAGGTTTGAAGACGGTCACCTGGTCGGGAAAAAATATAACGTAATTGATGGCACAATGAGGATAAGACCAATGAATAAATATCCCATCCACCATGCACCAATCCACGTCGGATCTTTTGCCGTTAGTCCAGGCGGAGCTGCAATGACCAGACAAAATTAGGTATTGGTTTATGTAAGATCTAAAAAGTGCTCAGATCTTCTGTAAGGAAATGACGATAGATTCGTGTACCTTTTAGAGTGTAGTAAAAGCTGCTGCAGAAGCTTCCAATGAGGAATCCACATACTGGTCCCAATATTCGAACAAAATTTATGCCAGCTTAAACAGAGTAAAACTTTTGATAAGCTGGGTTGCGCAAAAATTGAAAAATTGTTATTAATAGAACAAAATAGTTTTTGCGCATTCCAGAATCGGCGTGATCTTTCGTTTTTGCGAATAATCAAGGACATGCAGTATACCAGTTTTTTAGTTTTTTTTTCTTTTAAAAGTCCTTTGAACATTTGCTTGTTTTTGCTAAAAACACTTTTTTATAAGACTCGTTTCTAGCCCTCAGACCCCATAATTTGCACGATGCATGGACAGGCTGAGAAAGATCTGATGTGAAATTATGTTAAGGAAAGCATTGACACTCCTAGCGCAACTATGCGAAACTTCAGTCCAAAATTACAAGCATTCGTTTCGTGCTTGCTATCTGTATAGTGCGGTAAATTCAATCACCACATTTTGAAAACTTGTGGATTAACTCTGTGCTGAATTGAAATTATTTAGCTTCGGACCAACATGAGTTTAAGGTTGTGCTCCCTTTTGCAACAGTGCTTTTCAAAATTTATGTCGAAATTTAAGTTTGCTGCTTCATGAATTACTGATTTTTATTTTCGAATTAAAAATTGCTTTAAGATCAAATGTCAGAAGTCATCAAGGCTAAAAATTGTTTCAAGTTTCAGGCCTTTTAAAAATTTGCGTTTTTTAATAAATTTTCAAACACTCTGGGCTGATTTAATCGAGAAATACTAACATGTTACTAACACTATACGACTCCCATTTGCCAGCGTAAATGCATTTAGAAAAAAAAAAACCTGCTAATAATTTTAGTAGGTGAAAAACAACTTACATCGCAAAGCTAAAATTCTTCACTTGTTGTGGAGGGGAGAAAAATGCATTTTTTAGATTTTTTACATTATGCAGAGATTGAACAAGGCTATGATATTTGCTCGCTCACCACCAACAGAAAAAAAAATTTGACGGTATAGTATCCAACAGATTTAATCGGTGATTCCAAATTTAGTCAGCATAAGTTTAACATTACTAGAAACCTAGAATAATCTGAAGTAGATAACATCCGCGTATTGAATTAGCCAGAAAACGATGGAAAAACTAGGATGGCGCCAAAAACAGTTTTCTGAATATACCGTAGCTAAGTCCATTCTTGCTCCGAATAAATTGCAGTGCAGTTCTTAATACAAATGAACAGGGATTAGCCTACCAAAAAATGCCGGAAGATTTTTGTTGGAGACATTGTCATCGATCATTGGTATTCCGAGTGACCAAGGCATTGTACGACCGATGCCCAACCCAATTAGTCCCAGAAAAAGCACTATAAATGGCCTTTCATTGAACGATTCATTTACACATTTTGATTCCTGAAAAATGTGTTAACATTTATTGCAAGTACCAATGCGT